TAAGCACAAAAACACAGTAAAACTGGCCTCATCGGGAAACAAATTCCCTCCACAAAGCTGCTGTTTATCTCACCATCCTGAAGTTAATTTAGTTCGCTATTCACCATTTATTTAGACGCCATAAATATGCCAGTAAAAAAGCAAGGTAAATATTAGTCTTTTTCTGCTCTTCGTTTTTTTTTTTAATTTATTATTGTCCACTCTTTATGTTTTTATTTTTTTTTTTAATTTTTAATATTAGGCTAAGAGCTAGCTATAGAATAGAATCGAGAACTGTCGCATCACATGAAATGAATTTTTCAATTTCGCATGGGTAAAATGACAACACAATGGGGAGGTACCATACCATCGCCTGCCTCCCTGCCACCTATTCATCCATCCATTTGCAGACACAACATACATACGTAAATATTGTTTGTAAGTGTGTGTGTTCGTCTGCACGTATATTTGTTTAGATACCTATGTCGTTTTTGGTTGATTTTGCATATTTTACTCACATTTGTTTCTTGTTAATACCCTACACCACTACATTTTTGGGGTAGTGACTGCCAGACATATCGGGATCAACTTTGTAGAGCTTTGGCGTTCCGACAAGAACTACTTCCAAGCATCTACGTCATGAAATCAATGATCAGATTTATAGGTATTTCAGCTATTTAGTTCACTTACTTCCATCAAATAACATAGTTCTTTGAGTAGCTGGTTTGAATTTTTACACCAATTTGATATATAAAGAACAGACGCTATAGGATAGTTCCTTTCGTTCTTCCTAATGAACTTCAGGTTCGTTTTTGTAAGCTAGAACTCATTATAAGTGAGTTTTAATGAATCCGCATTGTCATATCGACTACAGTAATTAACCGCTTGTCGATATGGTATTTTTGCCCTTGGCTCCTTGGATTTGGTGATTTTTGTATCCGGAGAACTCTGCGGTACAACATATTTATTCTCCTTCTGCCTGTAGATTCATGTAGATTCATTTCAACATTTTCAAAGAAAATAAGTCCATCTTTACAAATCCTAATATTTGCATCAGTGCTAGGTCAGGTGCGAAAATGGACAACACCGGTCTACTCCATCAAGTACCTCCCCCACAAAGAGCCTAAATTTTGAATATTCCTGAAGCTCATAAAACACGAAATTAACATTGGATTGCATTCAGACTTTGGACATTTGAATATTTCCATCAACACAAGATCTGTTATAAAGATGGTGGAGATCGGTCCACTCCTCCACAAATGGTCAAAATTTTAAATAACCAAAACGGTCATAAAATCCGAAATATGATATCAGTTCTCTTCAAATTACAGACATCACAATATTTTTACTATCCCAAGGTCTGGTCTGAAGATGGGATATATCGGTCCACTCCTTCTGGTACTCAAAATATCGTCTTGTCAGTTTTTGATATTTAAGCCGAGACTCCCTGTTTCCTTCCTAAAATTTAGGGTATTTTTATTGTACCTTCTAAATTTCCTTTTAATACTTTTCAAAACCCATTGGGTGAGATAAAAACCGCAACAAAGTCAAACGCCATAATTTTTACATTCTTTTTAAATTTTATTGAATGAAGGGAAAAAATGTCGGGAAAAGCTTCAAATTTTCGAATAAGTTTTGATTTGTTCGAATTGGTCTCATTTGGCACAAATTATGGGCTTGCCAATGAAACCGTCACACGGACTTGAGTGTTGCTCTGCTGTATTTTGCCCCCATTCCCGGCGAAGCACTTGCTTGAGGTGATCGACACCTTGTTTATTTTTAGTGCCAACCTTGCTTTCCAAAATACTCCACAATAGTCCAGCGGATTGGTATTCGGAGATTTTGTTGGCCATGCGAGGAACCTTATTTTGTAACCATTCTTGGCTGGCGCGTGTAGAGTGCGATGGTGCTGAGACCTGTTTGGAATGTTCAAGGTCTGCGGCCAAAATGTTTGCGTTCCCAAAGCTTTAATACACATTCCAGAATATTTTCGCGATAATATTCTATATTTATTCTGATGCCACGGTCGATTGATACGAGCGGAGAGCGACCATCGGCTGTTATGGCGGCCCACACCATTACCATGGCCGGCGCTTGAGTTTTGTTTGCCAACCGAAGAAGCATATTTTCACACTATCACGCTTGAATTCCATCACGAATAACTTTTTTTGTGGAAAATTCTCACCAAAATGCTTTAGTACGCTTGTAAACAATATAATGAGCTGTCAGTGGAATAATTTTAACAGCTATCAGATGAATGGCTAAGAAATGACGGCAGTTTGAAGTTGGCTGCAGTTTTTTCATCTCACCCTGTTGATATAAAATATAGCTCTTCATTAAAGACTTTTTTGGACATTTCTTACCCTTCTAGGATGAATTTTCAATAACACCTATAGTCACTTATCCACATGCAGCAATAACATTTTCCACTTTTGTAGAACCCACAATAGCTGTAGCAAAGATCATAGTCGGTCAGAACTGGACCTACATTACATATATATTCACAATAATCGTTTTTCTCTCATTTGCTCATACAGAGCCAAACATCAACAACAATAACAACTTAAGTGATTTTTATGGTTTTTTATTATTCTTTGGGTCTGTTGGTCGCTCGGTCGGTTGGATGGTTGGTTGGTGGTGCTTTGTTGTTGGTATTTCGGGGTACCCCTGGACCTATGCCAAAAAGTGTTTGATGTACAAATATTTAGCTGCTGCTGCTATTGTCGTGGCTGTTTCTTGCTCTTTGCCTATTGTTTAAGATATATGGGCGAACAACATACATACCCAGCCCAGTCAGTCTGAACAGAAAAGAATGGTTCCTAGCGCTCTAGTCCCTTACACGTTTCTTTTTTGTTTTTGTTTTAATATCTTTAAAGACTGCCACTTTTATTTATGACATGTTTTTTATTAAAAATATATAAAAACGTATGTACGCTCAACGCTTCCCCTGATAGAATATTGAGAAAGAAACAAAAAAACGCAAACACAAAATGCATTGTTTTCGAAGGGATAAAAGTAAAAAAGCAATAATTTAACCCTTAAGCACATAATTATGGACAAAGTGATGACACTGTCGTACAAACATAATGGGAATATTAAAGGGATTCCTTGGAATTTTAAAGGATGGAATCAGGGTTTGCGAATTACAAACTTGTTATTATAGAAGACTTAAAACTTATGCAATGAGCCTGATACAGACATTTTTGCAAAAACTCCACAGGTAAGTTGGGGCTAATTATTATTTTTTTTTATAAAAGGACTCCACTCGGAGACCTGCTGGTCCATTGTGTTCATCCTAATGAATAAAGTGGAGGAAATAAAGGATGGTGTATAAAAGTGAAGGTATCACTGATCTTGCCGTGTCGTCTTTAGCCACTTAAGTCTTCTGGCTAATTGACGAATTATTGTAGTCAGTATTAGAGAAGACAAATCGTGTGACACCTGTTCCGCCACCAACCTGTGAATCACGTTAATGAGTGCTGGACAGATTCTACAGTAGTCAGTATCATCGCTGTCCCATTTCGAGGACATTGCCCTTACCTTGCAGTGACCTGTGATGATACCCTCCACAAGTTTTAAATCAGGTTTCGACAGTGACAGTAGCGACTTTGATATTTTCTCCGAGAGTGTGGGTCAGATTCTTTTGGGAGGCTGCATCCCCTTTCGTCCAGCCATTTTTGTTGAATTCTCTCAGAGTAGTGTCAATGAATTACCTGTAAGAAGTGGCACAGGGGTGGTGTGGCCGAGTTCTCAACTTCAATGGTAGCTGATGCGGACCCGGGCCAGCCAAAATCTTGAACCCTTTTTTGGGGGAGGTAAAAAAAGAAATGATCGCTCTCTATTTTTAAACCAGATCTTGTGTTGAATGGAATCCGATGTTAATTTCGCGTTGTATGAGCTTCATGGATACTCAAAATTTTGACCCTTTGTGAGGGAGGTACCAAAAGGAGTGAACCGATATCTTCACTCCAGACCATCGGTTAATAAAAATATCGAGATGTATGTAATTTGAAGATCGTTTTGGTCATTCAAAACCAGAAGAAGTGGACCGATATATTACATCTTAGTACCTGACCTAGCACTGATGCAAATATTAGGATTTGCAGCCTAGGCAGCTGACGTTCTACAGCTGCAATGGCATTCTTACTGTAATTGTTAACTACATCTGAGACTGCATCAGTATGAATGCTATTCAGACCTGCTTGAAAGACTTCATGATCTAGGGGCTCTCTCTTATATCGCTGGACCTCTCTCTCTAGATCAAGCAGGTCCTTCCTGACACGGCTGGGTGGGGGGAGTTCTGTCCATCATATGGTGGTTAGGATAACTCCCACGATAACACACAAACAGGTATTGCAACGAAAGCATATGACTATGCTGACGTAAGGGAAGAGCCTTCGTCTCCTCATGTGAATTATCCACAAGAGTCATCAGGAGGCACGCTGTTGCAGTTTTCAGGTTGGCATTCTGGTAGGTCTGTATACTTTTCCACTGCGTTACTCTGGTATTCACAGCCACAGAGCTACCTATCGCTTTATAAGAGGTCAACAAGGTTTCCTTATCCGCTAGCGCCTTGAGACCCTTTTTCACAAACAAATTCCCTGAAATATTTTGTGTGTAGTAACTATGCCAAATTGAGGTTATGAACGAAAATTGTTCGCGCCCATCCTCTGTAGGATTGTGTATGTTTATTAACACTTCAGCATAATATGAAAAATTATAAATTAATACTTGTAACAGTTTTTTGTTTTTAATAATTTTGCTGTCAATTTATATTTACAAGAATGTAACGACACACACCAACCAACCAACGACATTCATGGCCTGCAAATCGGGGGCCAAAAGAATGGTGCTTCGAAGCTTGTAACAATAACGGCTACAAGCGGCAACAGTAGTGGTGGATAGATGGACAGTCGTTCGTTCGGTCGATCGGTCGGTCGGTCGGATGGATGGGATGGATGAATAGGAGGGCAGACAACAACAAAACACTATTGATTTTTGTTCATTTTTTCATATTGTTTGTTGTGGGCAAAAACAAAATTTCTCATTATTTTAATGCCTTAAATTCAGTTCAAGTCGGGCTTTGAAACACAAAACACATCAGGCGGGCAGTCGTGGCGTAGAACAACAATGGACGAATCAGATGAAACCGATACCGAAAAGGAGTCTCTATTACCCAAAACAAATCGCAGGAAGAGGTTTGCCTCATCTTCATCCGAGGATGAGGCTGATAAATTTGCCGATTCCGATTCTCAAGAAGCGGCGGAGGAGGAGGTGGATGAGGATGAAGAAGCCTGTGAATTATTGGCCAATGAACATGGAGCGGTTTCTTCATCGATTGATGAAGTTATTAACCATCCACTTGCTGCATCATCTGGCCTCAACAAAGATGATTCTATGCAACTGATTAGTGATTTGTCGCATGAAAATCTTTGCAAAGAAACCTTAGAAATTTCCCAGCAAGAAATCGATAATGCGGCTGGTGGTGGCGCGACTGGTGCTGTTCAGTGTCATTTACATGAAAACAATGAAAAATATGAGGTTGATGTTGGTGTTGGCATAACGCATATTGCTGCAAAAAATCAGGGTTCAAGTGATGAAATGTTAAAGGTCAACGATGAAATATTCTTGGAGGAGAATCCCAGTCGGCAGGAGCAAGTGAAGGATAATGAGAATATGACCTTGATGGTTGATTCAAAAATCATGGAAATTGACAATGTCACTGATTCAGGAGAACCTCTGAGAGGGGGTCATGAGTGCGACGAAAAATGTGTAATGATGGATAAGGGTTATTTGAAAATAGTTCCTGAAATTGTTGAGGCATGTGAATCACAGAGTACAAAGGATGAACCTCACATGTTAGATGTCAAAACAGCCAATGAAAATCTTAAACTGTCCCTTAGTACCCCAGACATAGTGACTGGATGTGAGATCCAACAAAAAACTAGGTGTGGTAGTTCATTAGACATTCAGACTCTTGTGAAGACGGGTGAATTGGAACCCAACAATCAACTGAGAGTTTCAGAAAAACAAATATATTCTAAAACTGCAACGTACTCCAATATGCTCTCAGTCGGGTGCAATTTAACCGCAAGCAAATCAATGGAAATTGGTGCCATTTTATTAAAGGATTCAGAGGATTTTAAAAATTCGAAACGCAATGAACGCAGGGTCTCATTTGACTTAACTTTGCAAAGCATTGACATTGACAACTTAAGTAAATGCAAGGAGGAGGAGGAGGAGGACGAGGTAAAGGAATGCCCGAAAAAATCCAATGAAAATATCGAAACTTCTATTGAAAACGTAAAGGAGCTAAAAATCCCTTTGAAATCCAGCTCAGAAGAGGAAGATCAAATCCCCCAAACCCCAATACAAAGTAGTTCAGATGATGAAGAATTGAAAACCCCAATTGGAAGCAGTCTCTCGCTGCAAGATAAAGACATGCAGCACGACACCTCAGAGGACACACCGACCAAAAAGCTAAGCGAACCTTCAAATGACTTAAATGTAAGTTCTTCGGAAACCCTACAAATTCCCAACAAACTTGATTGCATTAACCTAAATTTGCCTAGCAGCAAATCAATGGAGATCTATCAGAAAAACAAACGGGAACGTGTCAATCGGCCATTTGGCAGTTTCAATGATTTGTTTCTGATACATGGCGAGTCCATGGAAAGCGATCGCAAATGGTTTGACCAGAAAGTGCAATCAAAAACGGGTATACATGAGTTGACCAGTTTCGAATCGGCCGAGGAGGGTGATGAGAAAATTCATTATCCCCCGGAAAAACTTTCATTAGATAGTCCCACGGCCTTTCAGACCAAGGATGTATTGGAAACACCCTCCAAATACACCACAGACAGTATAAGTGATTTGAATTTCATACGGAGTCTTTCAATTGCCAGTGATCACCATCAAATAAGTCCACCCTACAGAATTACCAAGCCAAAGGGTAGAAGTTCTAGTCTTTCGTTTAACTTCAAAATGAGCAAATCCATGGAAATGATGGCCGGACACCTGCCCAGCAATCGAGCACCAAATCTCAACAAATATTTTGGTAGTTCCAAGGATTTATATTTCTCAAGTTGTGAACAGCAGGAGGAGGAGGACAATCCAAATGAGCCACAATCAGGTGCAGGATTTCGGGAACAGGGACCATCAAAAAGAAATTCACTTAGCTCAAAATTCCCCATTGGCATACCTCACATACCGAAAGATTCATTGGATTTGTATCATTCTGCAATGGATTTACCACAGCAAGGTATCAACGACTCAACTACTGTTGTTCCGCCAACACCGGAAATGGAATCGGGTTATTTTGAAAAATCAGATAGTTTACCACCACCACCACCAGTTATTCCATTGGCGTCCAATGAGGAAGTCAACGACAATACCGCTGAGGAGAAACCTAAACCCCAATACGATCAAGCAATATCGGAAAGTTTACGCGATCAATTGAACCGTTTCGATTTTTTAATAGAAACCATGGATCAACGTAATGCCCGCAATATGGCATCGAATGCTGCCGAACGCGGCTATTGGTCCACCATTTTTGGCCAGGCCAGCGAAATTGCATCTCTCGATGAAATACCACCAGAAAATAGTAATGATTTTCATATTTTTTTCTAAGCTGTGTTCCAGTATGTGCCAGAATATGGAATAGTTTCAACATCTCTATAAAAAAATATTACCAAAGACATTTGAAACATGGCCGTACCATCTTTGCTATGGAAATTTTGAGGCTTGCCAAATTAATGATGAGAAAAATTTTATCATTGTTATATACAGGGTGAGATAAAAAACTGCAACACAGTCAAACGCCATAATTGGTATTTTTTTAAATTTTATTGAATGGAAGCAAAAAATGTCGGAAATAGCATCAAATTTTACAATGAATTTAGATTTGTTCGAATTGGTCACCTTTGGCACGAATTATGGCCTCCGAACGGCCAATGAAACCGTCACACGCTGCCCGAATGTGGCTCTGGGGTATTTTGGCCCATTCCCGGCGATGCGCTTGCTTGAGGTGATCGAAACTTTGGTATTTTTAGTGCCAACCTTGCTTTACAAAATACTCTAGACATAATAGTCCATCGGATTGGTATCCGGAGATTTTGGGGCGCTGGAAATTAAGCGAGGAACATCATTTTTTAACCATTCTTGGGTGGTGCGAGCTAAGTGCGATGGTGCTGAGTCCGTTTGGACATTCCAAGGTCTCCGGCCAAAATGTTTATGTGCCCAAGTCTTTAATACACCCTCCAGAATATGTTCGCGATAATATTCGGCATTTATTCTGATGCCACGGTCGATTAATACGAGCGGATAGCGATCATCGGCTGTTATGGCGGCCCACATCATCGCCATAGCCGGCGCCTGAGTTCTGTTGGCCAACCGAAGGTGCACATTTTTAGCTGACCTCTTTTACAAGTAAACACTATCATTTTGTTTGTTTACAAACCGCTGGACAACGAATGTTTTCTCATCGGAGAAAACCAAATTCGGCAGTTCACCACTTTCGGCTCTTTTGAGACTATTTTCTTTCCGTTGCGGTATAAGTTCTTTCACTTTTTAAAATTTCAATAGCTTTAGCCCGAGTTCATTTGTCAATATTTGCCGAATGGAATGTTGCAATATGATCAGCTCACGAGCCATTTTTCGGCCACTGCGATGCTGATTTCTATAAAATCTCTTCTTTACTTTTCCAACCATTTCTGCTGATGTTGCTGTTTTCAACCGTCCACTTCCTTGACATCGGGCTGCGCTACTGATAGCGGTAACAAGCGATGGTACGAGACACAAAAGATTTATTTACATTTAAATGCTGGAGTTCTCAACGATAGCCACTTGCGGTTTTCCAGCCAAGTATAAAGAAATCACACTATCACGCTTAAATTCCATCACGAATAAAATTTTTTCTGGAAAAGTCTCACCAAAAAGCTTTTGTACGCTTGTAAACAATATGATATATGTCACCGGAATAATTTTAATAGCTGTCGGACGAGTGGCTTAGAAATAAAAACAGTCTAAAGTTGGTTGCAGTTTTTTCATCTCACCCTGTATTTATTAAATTTTCTAAAAGAATTTGTTTTTGACAGAACGATATTAAAGAAATTTTGCCATTAAACTAATAATGGAACGCAGCTATAATTTTATGGTTCCAATATTGTTGGGAAACTGTTAGAAAAGTTGCAGGTTCAACCCCTTTTTTCTGAAACGAAATATTTTCCGAATTGCATATACCTTTCAACTTTAAAAAAGGTATATGCAATTTAGAAAATATTTCGTTTCAGAAAAAAAATGTTTCATTTCACCCGGACAATATTTTGTTTAATATAGAAATAATATTTTACTCTAACACAACTGCCATCCGGGATTTGTAACAATCTTTCTTTTTACAATTACAGAAGCCCACAGAGCTCTCGAGCTTTTGGAGGATTACCATTCGAGACTGTCAGAACCTCAAGATCGTGCCCTAAGAATTGCCATTGAACGTGTCATACGCATATTTAAATCAAGACTATTCCAAGCACTGTTAGGTAAGTTCATAATCTTTAATTTTTATTTTTTGAATAGAATTTGGTCTGGTCGCAATCGTTTTTCGAAAGTCTATTTATCATCGTTCGTATTTCGATGAATATGGAAAATTCCAGTAAAAAGTTTAATTTTTTAGAATAAAATACTTTCCGAAATACAAATTTGGATTAAGTGCGAATTTTAACCCGTCGTTCGTTTTAAAATTACATTGATTTCGGTAAAAATAATTGTTTACGGTAAATGCTGTCATTATTCATTCTACGTAATATGCCTGAAAATATGCTGCAAATAAATATTTAACGCTAAAGTCTACGTCAAGGCAGTTTGATTAGGCGTTTGCATTAGCAATTTGTTACACCAAAAAATTGGTGTTGGTACCATTAAAAGTTAACATTTTTCCAATGAACTTCCATTTTTCCAATGAAGTTACATTTTTTTAATTCTTCTGCATTTCCTATTTTACAACATTTATTTTCATTTTTAAAAAATTAATTTTTTCGTAATTTGGGCTTATGGTTTAAATTATTTCAACTTATTTGACATATGGTGTTGTCAGATTTGCTGGTTCGACTGCTTAGAACACCCGCCTTGGCCTTACTTTATATTAACAAAAAATCACAAAGTCTAAGGCTACCCTAAACATTACTTTATGGCATTGTCATTCGATGCGCAAAATAGAGTAAACAATGGCAACACTGTGTTCCTCGCAACTCGATAATTGAATTATCGTTTTAATGCGGCTGCCGTCGTTTTTGCAACTCTAGAACCCTATTAACTCTCGCCGTATTTGTTTTCTTGCGAAAATTCAATTGTTTCTTGTGCCGGTGATTGTTTTAATAAATAAAAGAGAAAAAACTAAAAAACTAGTGAACAGTCACAAAGTCAACGACAAAATGTTTGGAACATTAAATAATTATCTCAGCAGTGTCCACCGGGCATGGACAAATGGTGATGGTGACACTTTGGCCTCATACATCTCCCTCAAAGACAAGCATATTATGAATCGTAATTTATATGTTGAATCGCCGGAAAATGCTGTGGGTCGTTTGTTAGAATCACCCATAGATGAGATACTATGTGCACATCTAAAAGTTTTATATTATCTGGGTTTGGAACGTAAGTATGGCATTTGTTTTTGAATTGAATGAATCGAATACAAAAATTTGTTTGCAGCCCGAGATTTCATGCAAGCCTATAAATATCAATCACAATGCATACAGTCGGTGGTGAAAATGTTACAACAATTAAAGGAAGAAAATTGGTGTTTACCCGTTATGTACACAGCCTGCTTGGATTTGAGAATACTAGCCCAACGTTGCGAAGAAATGGGCAATAGCTCGAAACCAGGGGAAATTCTGGAAAAGGCGGCCGATTGCCTTATGAGTTGTTTTCGTGTGTGTGCAGCTGATAACAGGTGAATATAACAAAACCAGTTTGTAAAGCTTGGGAATGTTATTAAATGAAGGTGTGTATGTAAAGGACCCGGTCAAGAATGTTTTTAAAATGTTTGTATCTGGAAATCCATTTATTTCGAACTTTAACTAATTATCCAATGTTTCTAGAATTTGAAATTTTAGACTTCAAATAGTTTAGAAGGCGTCGGTTGAAAATTTACTTTTTTATGCGGATTACAAAGGTTTACTCCAGAGATTCCTAGATAATATCAAGCTATTTGTAAATACAAATCAATATGACAAAAATTTAGCTTTTTTTTGGAAGTGAGCCTAAGTGACAAAAGGAGGCCTAGATTGCATCCCGAGAAATGTATTCCACTAAATTTAAAAAAAATGGTGCATGGGTTCACCGACATTGCTAGAAATGAATGCATTACGAAACCATTTAGTGGAGACAACTGACAAAAAATGACATTTTTAAGCAAAATTCTCTAAAATTATTTAAAAATATACCAATTTGGAGTCGGCCCGTACCTCCTGGACCTTCCAAGAAATCTCCAAAATCGAAAACCTTTCCATTACAGCGTCTTCAAGCGGTGCTTTGTTTAGAGACAATGGGGTTTTTTGTGCCCATCCCTAAAAGAGATCCAGAAAAGATAGCTCAGAATGAAGTAATGTCAGAGAATAGAGGAGTCGAAGGGCGTTGACAATGGACGAGTTTAGCATCCATTAAAATAGGTTCCAACAGACTGTTTATTAGAAACTTAAGGTTAGAATAGATAAGATGGGTAAGAAATTAAGTTACAGGAAATATGCCGAATGAGAGTTGGATTGTTTCTATTTCATCATCTTCAGCAAGCCTTTAATATTACCATTCTCTAATTTTTCGAGAGTGACCGGTGACTCCATTCTGGCAAGGGGTAATGAGGATCTTTATTTTATTTTCGATACACCTGATAAAACTGAAAAAAATCTAATTAATTATATATTTGATAGGGCGTTCCTAAATCCTCACTCCATTTGTAGACATTAATGCCAGATTTAGGACTTATGATCTAGACATACCATATAACCACGAAAAATGTCCTTTACATTCATAATACCACCACACTTCCTTTCAATCCCTTTTACAAATTCATTTTCCTCATTAATTACATTCTTTCGTTTCTCGTATTTTTCAGATCGTCTGACAGCGAAACAAAACGTTTGGGCATGTTGAATCTAGTCTGTCAACTGTTCAAGGTTTATTTCCGCATCAACAAGTTACATTTATGTAAACCGTTGATACGTGCCATCGATTCGAGCGCCTTCAAAGATATGTTCCCGCTGCCAGAACGCATCACATACAAATACTTTGTTGGACGCAAAGCCATGTTCGATTCCGACTACAAGAGTGCCGATGAATTTTTATCGTTTGCCTTCAAGCACTGCCCCAAGAATTTTCCTCGCAACAAAAGACTTATACTCATTTATTTAGTGCCCGTTAAGATGCTGCTTGGCTTTTTGCCCAAAAAGCATATCTTGGAACGCTATGACGTTTTGCAATTTCACGAATTGGCAGAGGCTCTCAAAGAGGGCAATGTTCGTAAATTTGACGATGTCATACAGAGGCATGAAATTTTCTTTATAAAATGTGGCATTTATTTGCTGGTTGAGAAACTTAAATTTATTGTCTATCGTAATCTCTTCAAAAAAGTTTATCTCATCAAGCAGACACATCAATTGGATTTGAATGCATTCGCCACGGCGTTACAGTTTGTGGGTGAAACGGACATGACCATCGACGAGACACATTGCATTGTGGCCAATCTGATATTTGAGGGGAAAATTAAAGGTTATATTTCGCATAGCCATAATAAACTGGTGGTGTCGAAGCAGAATCCTTTTCCCCCACTGAATACGGTTTCCTGAGATATCGAATGTTAAATGTTGTAATATTTTTTTTTTAAACAAACTATTTAATAAAGATGAAACTGAAGGGATTATTAATGACAAAATCGAAATGAGAACTGTTTTATTTCCAAACATCAAATAAATAAATATGGGGTTCAATTAAATTATTGTTATTTTTAATATAATGGTTTTGTTATTTTCTTTTTTTCCTTCATTTTAGATATCCAAGAATTTTATGAACTAACATTGCTGGATGATTCAAAGACAATACAACAGAAGACAGTTGAAACTTTACAAATTGCTAGCAAGTGGGAACAAGATGGCCACACAGTTAAAATAACAGATGTAAGTAAACATTATATTGATTATTTTTAAATACATATTTGCAATTTGAAAATGGGGTTGAAAGTTAATAGCAATCATGTCCATTTTGTTCATGACTGAGATTGAAAAACAAAAAAAAAAACTTTAATAAAATAGCCAAATAGAGAGAAGTATAGGCCTGAGTAGTGGTTCAATTCTCCAATTCTATAGCATAGTAAAAAAGCTCAGGAGAATCATCAGAAAAAATTATAAAATCAAAAACCGAAAAGAGAAAACGTAAAATATAACAACACGTGTATTAGCATTTTTAAACTTTACATCGGGAGGTAGCCAAAACATTTTCATGTTTTCGAATATATTTGAGTTAAGATTCCTTAGAATTGATACATATTAGGTATATAGCGTTTTTGGCAATATTACTAGGAAAAATATGGAGAATATTTTCGTTATACAAATTTACCCTCAATAGAGTCATTAGCGGTGAATTTCTTCGAAAACGTTCAAAAGCTCATTAAGATGTGATCTTATCAAAATTACATATACAAACATTTTCATAATACAATTTTATTTTGTGTCTGACACCAAAACTTTCCGTGAAACCAAAATCGGTACAATTCAAAAAAAAAAAAAAACACATATTTTAGGGTCAAAGTCAAACTCCATCTCAGTTTATGCAAAAAATCCATAAATCATAAATGAAGGGCGATGACGTTATACACGAAATTTTATGGTTACACATAGTACGAGTTCAGAGATGGACAATATGGGGCCACTCCTTCCTAAGGTCGAAATTTTCAAAAAAAAAAAAAATATTTTACTGCACAAAATGATAAAGGATAATCTGATTTTTCTCCAACTTTGCAAATCTTAATATTTGCGTCAGTGCTAGATCAGGTGCGAAAATGGGCAATATGGGTCCACACCATCAAGTACCTCTCCCACAAAGTGTCAAAATTTTGAATAATTGTAACTCTTATAAAATGTGATGTTAGAGTCCGATTGTCTACTAATTCCACATATCGAAATATTTTTTATTAACCCAAGGTCTGGTGTGAAGGTGGAATATATCGATCCACTCCTTCTGGTACCTCCCCCACAAAGGGTCAAAATTTTGAACATCCATGAAGCTCATAAAACGTGAAATTAACATCCGATTCCATTCAAACTTGACACATCTCTGTATTTCCAACAACACAAGATCTGTTATAAATATGGTAAAGATCGGACCATTCCTTCTGGTACCTCCCCCGCAACGGGTCAAAATTTTGAAAAGTTATATCTCTCATAAAATGTTAAATAAGCATCCGACTCTCTTAAAATTCCACACATCGGTGGAATATATTGATCCACTCCTTCTGGTACCTCCCCCACAAAGGGTCAAAATTTTGAACATCCATGAAGCTCATAAAACGTGAAATTAACATCCGATTCCGTTCAAACTTGACACATCTCTGTATTTCCAACAACACAAGATCTGTTAAAAAGATGGTAGAGATTCGACCATTCCAATTCCGACCAATTTTGAAAAACCAAAACGAATATAAAATCCGAAAAAAGCATCCGGTTCTCTTCTTATTTCACAAATCCCATTATTTTTTGCTAACACAAGATATGATGTGTAGATGGAATATATCTTCAAACTCTCTCTGGTACCACACCCACAAAGGGTCAACATTTTGAATATCCATGCAGCTTATAAAACACGAAGGTAACATCCGATTCCATTCAAACAACCATCCAATGCTTTACAACTTCCTATATCTAAATATTTCTCTCAACCAGAACCTGAATTGAATGTATATTTTCGCATAAAATTGGATATAAATGTTCGAATTTCTTGTAATTTTGCCCATACCAATACAAGATGAAGTTTAAAAATGGAATACTTCGGTCGACTATATCTGGTGCCTCACCCACATTTTAACATTTTCTAAAAGCTATCACATATCTCATATAAAGTGAAAGAAGCAACCAGTATAGTCCAAACCTGTCACGTCACAATATTTATATCATATTTATTTAGGTCCGATACGAAATGGACAATATTGTCCCACTCCTTCGGGACCTTCTCCATAGAGTGTCAAACATTTGAGTAATCATACAAAAGTCAAAATATACTTAAAAAATAATCCAAATTGGCTGAGGGTATACATATGTTGGCAAAACCGACTAATACTTTTTTAATTGTTCTACTATAAGTCTAAGTAATAAAAATTAGAAAATTCTATATTTTCAAAAATATAAATGGGCCGAAATTTCCCGCTCTATACTTTTAAATTCGTATCCCTTAATGTTCCCTTGTGACTCATATCCGGCACTTAGTTTGCTGGGTGTGCTAACGTTCGCCGTAAAAATTTCATTGATAAAAAAAGAAACGAATCCATTGTTCGATTGATATTGGAATATACATATATAGCCTACAACAGATTATCTCAAACAATGCCTCAATAAATCAAAAATTATTAAATAATATACGCTTTGTCTGCCGCCTCGATGTCAATATTGGACAACGCTCTATATACTACATGTGCGATTATTTATTTATTATTCATCAAATCTCCTCTCTTTTATTCGTCGTATCTATATTTGAGAAATAATCCGCAATATTTTGATGCGTATACCTATATACAAATATTATGCGTTCCATTGCATTTTCTTTAATTCGTATAGATCCACATATACACATTTGTAGGTAGGTGTGTGTGTGTTTTGGTTGGGGAAATGCTTTTTATAAAATAGCATTTTACTGACAGGCAATAAATGTGTTTTCATCCCATACACACGTTTGCTTCTAGTATATTTGTGATGATGAACAATAGTCAGCTAGCTGATGTTTTCTACTACAAGGTGGTGGTGGTCGGTCATTCGTTTATACAATCGAAATTTTAACACATTTTTCTTGAGGAAAATCTGTATTAAAATATATTTACTCGGATTCTCCATACCAGTAACATAGACTTTCATTGAAGTAGTCTGTTATAACTTCACTTTGAAATTTTGCCATAAAATTGTGGGTTTCTTACCTTTGTGACAGAAAAGGACGAGATAACAATTATTGTCATAGTAGAGCCCATATTAAAGCGGAACTTAGAAACGTGAGAGGATGATATTTTTATCATAGAAACTCAAATTGTTTTGCTAGCTTATATCAACTTTATATCTGTATCAATAAGTTTGCCCCTATTAAAATCCGTTGTTTGGAAGCCAATTTTTCTGACTACAATGTAACGTATGTAGATTTTTTTTTAATTGATGCGTGAAAGAAATGTGGAACATAGATTTAGACGACGAGTGTCAAAGGAAGAAATATTTTACACAAAATGTCTCCATAAATCTAGAATTTCGAGTGATATACGAGGTACATTTCATTTCATACAGTTCAATATACAGCAAACCATTATGACCAAATGAATGACTAAATGAAAGGGAATGTAAAAGTCTCGGAGAAAACTTAGCCTACACTGTGCGAAATCAGAACAAGGCCACGCATCTCCATCATGAAATCTGACTTCAAAGTTGTGCTGGGAATCATTAAGGGTCATGATATATAAGAGAAGAAGCGACAATGAAACGATGGAACATCAAATCTGCCACTGTCCAACTCTCCTCCTCGCGAGGCAGAGGCCGATAAGCTTTTTGCAGTATTTTATCGACCTTTTGTAACACAGTTTTGCTTTTGCCCCATTCGTGGGTGTGTGACTTCGTGACTTCGCACGAGTCTCAGGGGGAGTGTTCCCTATGGTTTTTGAAATATCTCACCTCTCTCCGACGTGGCAATGGCAGTGATGTCAAGTTCCTCCTCCAATAGGGGTGAATCATTCCCAAAATCAGAGGGAACGCTTTCCTGAGTATCAGGGTTTTTGTTTTTTTCAGAAGAACACACAATTGTTCAATCTGCTGGTGATTACGGTCACAAATAACGTCTCTGTACGTAAGAATTGTTTCGTCTCCTCCCAAATTTAAAATCATGTCCATTGACTGGTCCGAGGTCGTTGCTTCGGTAGAAGCAGTTTTTTCGTTGGCGGTTGTTAGGCTTTTTATGTTTTATGTTTAATGATTATTTGAGTTCTTCATAAAAATTTCGGACAGTGGAGGAGACAAGGTCCATGATATTCACTCAGGTGCCCAGGTATCTGTGAGGCAACCGTTCAAATATAGTCGGTTCCCTGACTGCAATCGAGGAACGCTGATAGGCACTTTTTACGTTACACCCCAGCGTCAGGGGATCTGTTGTTTCGGTAGACCAACACCGTTCACTGGTTATTTAAAGGCACCAGTTGTTGTCTCGTCGAAGCCAAGGATCACGGGACTCGGATATTTATTCCGAGGCTCTCCCCCTGGAAACGGATAAGCTGTCAATGACTGCTTATTATGCTTTCGCGAACAGCCGTATTTACGGTTCGTAATGGGTAACTACAGCCTATGACAAAAACAAAATGCGTATGCAAGTCCACGTCTTCGTATAGCCATATAACGACATTACTACACGGAATTGTTTTAAATTTCGCATTTGGGTACTGCAGCCTATGTAACGGTTTTCATTTAAAACATATTTGTCGATGAAAGTTTTTCAAATTCCTTTCAAATTGTAGAGGATATTAAAAGCTTGGCCCGGCTGAACTAAGGTGCTTATTTATTTGTTTAAACTACAATTACGTCATCAGTATAAGTTATACGTTCCAGTTATTGAATGTCAAAATGCAACTCCCACGTATGACTTTTGAAAACAAAAATATTATATAGGCCATAATATCTATAATTTTGCCTAGGACTTTGAAATGATCAAGATGACTGTTATTCCTGCAATTAGAGGTGGGGTATCCAACATACGATGGTTTACATGAATCCCACAATAACACCCAAGAAGGTACTGCAACGAACGTACATGATTATACTGACGTACGGAAGGACCTTATGTAGATGGTCCACTAGTGCCATGAGGAGGCACCCTGTCGCAGTTCTCAGGTCAGCAGTATTGATGAATTTGTTCATCTAGAGACTGTCTCGTATATTATATTTCC